GGGGGGGGGGGTTGACTTTTTTCTTCCTAATCAGACTTGGTAACCACAGAGTAGATGACTCATGAGTCAGTGATGTTGATTAATATTTGTTAAAAATTCTGCTCCATCCACCTGATTTCTTCCAACAGAAATGCTGGATGTTGCCATCATTTATTCATAGCATTTTCTTGCTTCTTCAGCCTGAACATGCCAGAATCGAAAACGTTTGAAAGGAATGCCCCAAATTTAAAAGTGCCCACCAGATTCTTGAACCAAGTTTTCCAGCCCTATTATAAAGATTTAACCGCTTTTTTACATCTGACCTGTTCATTCTCAAGGGGACATCCCTATGCTTTGTTGTTTTCAATGGCCATTAATCCTTCTAAATGCTCCCTTTTAAAAATGCTCCCTTTTACTCCTCCACTGTATTTCAGCTTGCTCAGCACTATTTGCTTCTGGCTGAAGAGAAGGAAGAAGAGCTGAATAACTGCCTGGCTGTTGATTGGTTGATTAAAGCATCAAAGCAGGGAAGAAAGGGTGCAGCGAGAATCCTCCAGCGCTGTTGGATCCAAAGAAAAGGTACCGAATTCGGGCCAGTGCATCATTGCATGTGTTCTATTACGTTTTCATTTCAGCAAAGAGATAAATGTCTACCATTTTGGGCCAGGTATCACCCCAGAAAATGAAGAAGATGTGCGCGTGCTGTCAACCGAAAGTAAGTTTGAACTGGCGGTCCGCAAAGCCGCCATGATGATGTACTGGAGGCTCAACCCGGACAGGAAGAAAAAGGTGGCTGTGTCAGAAATGCTGCAGAATGTGAGCCAGGTCAACGCAATGCAAGGTAGGGGGCCCCGCACACTCACTGAGATGCGAATTTGTGTTCAGTCAGTGTCACATAAAGTGTGCAAACCACCCTGGGAAGGGTGTTGCTGACACTTCCCGTGTGATTTCGCAGTTCGCAGCTGTCTAACTGAGCAGTGTCATGTTACAGGCCGGCATTCAGTGAAGTGTTCGGAACTCACTGGTGATGTGATCATGCCTCTTCAACAGGGGGCATCCCAAGCAGGATTCCCGTCCCAACCTCGGGCCAAACCCAGAAAGTGTTGGAGAGCATGGTCAGCAGTGACTGTGGGTATTTCAAAACAAAATAAAAAGAGCTAACAGACACAAAACACGGTAAAACTTCTCTTTAACTGCCTGCTTCCTGTCCTCTCAGCCAATCAGCTGGTGGACCTGGACGACTTTGTTGAGATGACTAAAAAGTACGCGCAAGGTATCGTCCCATCAGCTCCCAACAGTGGAAGCCAGCCCACGGAAAGAACTGAAAGGCCTGCCCCGCTTCGGAGTGGCAGGGAGGTAAAGATGCCCCATTTACCAGTGATGAACAAAAAGGATAAGCGTTTCTTAAAGCACAGATGTGCGTTCACGAATGTGCGTGTGCGGCTCTTTTAAAGCAGAAGACCGAACTGGTCCAAACGGGATACAAGAAGCTCCACAAACACTCCTGGAGTTTTGACTGCAGCGGGATGTTGGACACCAGGCAAACTGGTGCGATTAAAACCGCCATGGACATGAAATCCCGCTTGATGGTAATCCCGATCTTGCGTCATTTGTCATCTTTTCATGTATTGGTTTGCATGCTTGTTTATGTTCTCGTTGTATCTGTGGGTCCCCCCCCCTTCAGATGCTGCAGTATCCGCTGCATGCACTCATTGAAATGAAGGAGCACCTGATTGACTGGGCCTCACGGGCTGGCGTCCTGTGGCTGAGCACCATCATCCCCACGCAGCACGTCAACGCGCTCATCTTCTTCTTCATCATCAGCAACCTGACGGTCGACCTGTTTGCTTTCGTCATCCCTCTGGTTGTCTTCTACCTCTCCTTCGTCTCCATGATCATCTGCACTTTGCGAGTTTTCCAGAGCAGCAAGGTGATTGTTTCATTTCCTTTTCTGGGACACGTGGCCTTTCTAGTCCTTCAGAATGCTTTTGTTGACATTTCTGGCACATAATTACTCTGACCCAACCATTTTTACACATATTTCTTCATGCAAAAACAAATACATGTTGAGGATGCTCACATAACACATACCACCTCACATACCACCGTGGTGCCCCAAGCAAATAACCAATTAAATGTTTTGTTGCCTGTATATACATTTAAAAGCCTAAAAATAGGTTATATGGCATTGAGAGATACACATTTGTGGCGCACCTAAAAACAGAAGAATTCACATCAGTCATTTTGTTTAAAATGCATTTGACGGACACAAAAAATCCCTTTTACATTTTACTACTTGCAATTAAGTCATTTAGATCCTCTAAAAGGCGTCAAGTTACTGCAATGGAATATAACATTTAGAGTTGACATTTTACCAGAAGCTAGTAGATCTTTAGAAGTAGCCATTGATGCAAGCAATGACAACGTTTCAAAAGTTTCCTAACATTTTTCCTTTTTTTTTCTTAGACTTGGGAGAACTTCAGAGCTCTCACATCTCTTCTGACACGGTTTGAGCCTGGCCTTGACGTGGAGCAAGCGGAAACCAACTTCGGCTGGAACAACCTCGAGCCTTACCTGTATTTCATCTTTTCTGTGTTCTTTGTCATCTTCTCTTTCCCCGTTGCCGACAAGAAATGGATCCCCTGTTCGGAGCTCTCCACCATAGCCATCTTTTTTACTGCAGTCAGCTATGGAAGCCTCAGCCCGACTGCAGCAGCATATGCCCGCCGGGCAATGTTTATAGAGGTATATCACGATTGATGAACATAGAGAAGGGAAAGGGGCATCACTGTCTGTTTTACTGTGCTTATGTTTATATATATATATATATATATATATATATATATATATATATATATATATATCCACAATGGTCTTCAATTTATTTCAGATGGCACTCTCTTCAATGGGACAATGCTTGCAGAATCATAGGATTTTGATGCCCTTAAAGGAGACTGCTTTTAAAGCTGAGTAATCATGTATTTGATATTTCAATTCAGGTGGCATCGAATCTGTGTTGCCTGACCCAGTTACTGCCAGAAAACATGACAGCAATTCGCTTCCTGGGACGCACCTTCAACACTTTGCCACTTGGGGATTCCGTGGTGCTGAAGCTCAGCATCCCCTGTCTTCTTTATGTCTACCTGTTCTACCTGTTCTTCAGGTGAGGGGAGCTCATTTCTGTTGGAGATTCTCACTCTATCCATTAAAAATGATTAGCATTGTTTTATACATTTTGTGCCAGAATTGTATAAAGTGATTTTTTGTCACCCTGTTCCTCTTTTTTCCTCCTTCAGCATGGCGAGGACGCGCGGTTTCCGGGGGACGTACTGCTTTTTGATTCCATACCTTGTGTGCTTCATGTGGTGCGAGTTCTCAGTGGTCCTCCTTCGGAATTCCTCCGCCGTGGGTTTAATCCGCACTTGCGTGGCTTACTTCCTTTTCCTGTTCGCGTTGCCTGTTCTGGCATTTGGCCTCGCCATCATGATCTTCATCCAGCTCTTCAAGTGGTTCCTCGGGCTGGAGCTGACAAAGATGATCGTGACCCTGGTGGTGTGCGCGATCCCGGTCACCCTGCGGCTTTGGACGCGGTTCAGCATGTCTATTCTGGATATCATCCGCTCGCTGACGCACCGCGGCCCAGTTAAGGTCATACTGCTCTGTATATCCACGGTTATCCTGTTCTTCTCGGTCTATGTGTACTACGCGGAGGGACAGAAGGTCTACAACTCCTCCCTGACCTGGAGTCAGTACAGTCAGGTCTGCGGGCCCCCTGCCTGGAAAACAAAAAGCATGGCCCAAACGCAGATCATTTGCAGCCACCTGCACGGACACAGAGTCACCTGGACCGGGCGTTTCAAGAGTGTCCGCGTTGCCGAAACAGAGAATGGCGCCCAGTCGGTCATAAACATGTTGCCGGTGTTCATAGGAGATTGGTTCCAGTGCTTGTACGGTGAGACCTATCCCAAATGCGAGCCAAAGAACACCACGTTTGTCAACCTGACAGCTACAGCGGCAGCGACCGGCTCGGCATCGGCCACCGTCCCACTGCCCATGTTGCTTCACATGCAGGAGGAGGAGGAGGAGCTGTGTCAGGTCAAGGATCTGGCTAAACAAACCTGCCACGTCAAGCGCTTTGACAGCTACCGGTTCGAGGTGACGGTGGGGATGATCCAAAGCCCCGAGGCGGAGGACCCAGCCAGGGATATACTCCTGATGGCCAGCCACGAGTTTAGACAGGTGCTGCTAAATCTGAGCCCTGGAAATATGGTGGAGTTCAGCACCAAGCTGGAGGGCCGTCTGGGATCGAGAGCACCAGCCTTTGAGCTGAAGGCCATCCACTGCCTGGACTGCGTATCTCCTCGGCTTACTGGACGCAGGCAGGTTAAGATAGAAAGAGACTGGAGGCGCACGACAATGAAAGCCCTGAAATTTGCGTTTGATTTTTTCTTCTCTCCTTTCCTATCAGCAAAAATCCATGCTTGAGAGGAAAAATGAGTAGGGAAAGAATGCTTTCAGGGTGTTGATAGTCAAGTTAATTGAATTCTAATGAAGGTTAACGTATTAACCCAAAATGGATCTAGAGATTTTGTGCATATGAAGGCATCTCAACCTGGGAATGTAAAAGTTTACAGAGACATTATTGTTCCCTTTGAACACAACATTTTAAGAAAACTCAGCTAATCATGTACAAGAATGCTTGTTTTAATGATCCTGTACACTTGTTAAAGAATTAGGCGTCAAGTTAGTAAAGAGAGAACTTGAGAAGTTTGTTATCCTTAAAGTTTTGTACTTATGACTTCTTTTGAACTACTTTTTATTTTTGTAATGCACATTTACAGGCCCAGAATTGCCTCGACGTGTCTTTGGGGGGCTTAAGTGTACAATTTGTACGCAATCCAGCTCTTTGCCACACCATTTTGCTTTATATTATTTTGATGTCATCTTTCTGCCATGGTGCAGTTGCAGGGTTCACATTTGCTGTGGTCGTTTTTGCTTTGATGACAGTGTTATTGTAGGTAGAGGGAGCCAAAGAGCATGAAAACTTGACAAATTCTCTAGTGTTACTTTAAATGATTAAAGCAGCTGATGCTGCAGCATTTTAGGCCCAGAAACTCATTATTTTTACCTGCACTGTGAAAAAGATTTGCATGGACAACACATTTGCTTGTTTTATATTTGTGTACTTAAAGCAACTTTTTACTTAAAAGTGTTTGTTAGAATCTAACACACTGTAACGTGATGATGGAAATTAAACAGTTAATATATATTTGAAATGCAAACTGTGAACTCTCACTCAACCAAGGCTGAACCAATAAACTATGTGAAAAAAATATAAATATGAACTGTTTTACACGCAGTATATCATCACCATGGAATGAGTTTCCTCTGTTGTGATGGTTTGCTTGGTCTTGATAGCAGCTCTGATCTGTTGGGGTGTTTTTGTTTTTTGCTTTTTATGGGTTTTTCTTTCCTTTGTCCCCAGCAAGTGAAATTCGGCTTAACTGAATGGGTCTTTGATTCTGTCAAACGCTTCCAATGCTCCACTTCCTTATCCTCAGAACTACATGTATGTATATGTTTAAGATGCGCTGCATAGTACTACAAGTTCCACAAGCTTTTACCTCGATGTTCCAAACTGCTTTTGGATTTTGGGCAAGTTTTTCTCAAATAAATTGTTACCTGGTGTAAAATGTCATGTGTTCTTAATTTTGGTTTCTATTTATCGGATTTTAAGATCATTAGAAATTGAAAAAGTGGATGCCTAAATTTTTTCTTATGAAAAATCCTCCACACAGAAAGCTGCTTTAGCCTAGGACCTGTTTTACTTTGTTACTGTTGCAGACATTAAAAAAAAAAAAACTCAAACACAATTTTGTCACATTTTTTAATCATTTATTAAGCACATTCCTTTCATCCACCTCAATTAATTTATGTTTTTGTCCTGTTAGATCTGTGTTTTTTTTTCCTTCGCTTTTTAAGTACAATAGAATTACACTCTAGTAGCTTTGAGTAATGGCGGCATGCTGCTGCTGTGATCCTGAACACAAATTCCTTTCACCGTTTGCAAGTGTGACTATGATGCGATTACAACTGACAAAACTACAGTCCATCCCCACCCCTACCCAACCCCCGGGCGGCTTGTCTCCCTATTAACCATTTTTTTAGTGGTTTCCCATCTCTGAGAGCAAAATAATGTTTGCATTCAAGAAGGGTACGAGCAAAGTGAAGAGAGGCCTCTCAACTGCAACAGACACCGGGCAACGTGACAATTTCATCTTTTTTTGAAGGGTAAATTCTTAAACAGCGAACCACTAATCACGCACCAGAACTTGGTCTTTTAAAAATTTCAATGAAATGCTTCCCCAGTCGACTCCACCTGTTACCCGTCACCATATCAGCATCTGGACAACTAACGCTAATCCAATCATGGCAAAGAGCACTTCAGAAAAAAGCACTTCCCTCCAAGCAGTGAAATGTCAAACAGTTCAGTCCAAAGCAAACATTTCCGTTACTGCTGTTTGCCTTCCCTTTATCAGTGTAGCACCCCAGAGTAGCATGCGGCATTGTGAGGTATAAAGTAAGACAGCTAAAACCTACAATATGGTATGATCCGTCCAAACACCCACACTGTTTGGACTTTAAATACCTTTTGTGACGTACATAACGAGATATTGCACTGATGATCGCCTCAAAGCCTCACACACACCCGACACAAATGAATTCATTACAACTTTGATTAGCTGAGTCAGGGATCTCATTTATGAACAATGTGCATGTTTTTATCGTGATTGTGAGATCCATTATTAAAATGTGCTTCAGCATGATAAAACAAACAAAGCTCATCTCAGTTCCGCCCTTGCTTAATGATAATTATATTGTTATGTTTGTGCCCACGTGGGCCTTAATTTTGGACAAAGGAGATTGCTCAACAATTAGAGACTGATCCCCTCAGTTGTGATGATTCGTTGTATAGTCGTGTACATTTTAGACAGGAATTAACTTTGACACATCCATCAAAACCCAGTACAAGCTTGAAAAAATAGTCAAAACAAAACGCAGAGTGTTGATAAGTGCACAGTCTCCCTGCTTTCTTCTCAGCCAGTGATTAGTTCTATGTATTGCTTCACAAAAACATCAGACATGGTGCAGTTTAACCTGTCTTAAAAGTAAGATCTAACGTTCATTTACAGTGCAATCGACAAAATCTATTCATTTTCTGAAGATAACGCGGTATCGCCTGGAAAAGAAAAAAAAAAACAGAGAATTTTTATGGCTAACTGTAAAAAGAGTGTAACATGGATTTCATCTGTAGAATAAAAACTTCTGTTTTAAACCAGGAACACCGCTATACTGCTCTTGTTAGTGCTGTTATTGCAAAGTGAATTGGGTTAAGATTATTGGTTATGAATATCCGTGCAGTCCCCAGGAGCGCTGCTCTAAAGGAGAGGTTACGTTTCTGCTGTCACCCAACAGAGAAAAAGATAGCATTGTGGAGAACCTAAATCATAACATCACTCCATATTCAGAATGCTCTGATTTAGATGCAACATCAGGTAAAGTCAACCTGCCATTTAAAGTATACTTTAAAGCATCAGACACCGTGTGATGCCCAAAGCACATATCTTCTCTTAACTGTGAAATAGACATTGGTGAGTAGTGCAACATTGTGGGATCAACAGCAGTCATTGGAGATGGAGAGGTGTCCCTGCACCTCGTTCACTGCCCCTGGAGGGTGAAATTATGCAAACATTTTCAAAAAGTAGTGGTAGAGTGCAGCAAAAAACACATCTCCATGGCCACTGTAGAGATGTCACGTCATCTCATTATTGAAAAAGGATTACACACATTTTCCTTCCTTGGTGATCAAATGAAATCAACTAAGTAAATAGTCTTAGAATGTTACCGTTAGTCCAATCGACTTAGGCGTCCCCCTAAAACATTCATATACGTAGGAGTTTGTAACTCAGTGGAACAGTCTGATGAGGATCGATTTCCAGTGTTCTTGTCACTGTGTCTGTGTCTCGGGGCTGACTCGATCCTGAAAGATGTACAAGTTGTTGGTGGCCGCGATGGCGATTATGTTCTCTGACGGGTGCCAGGCCATGTGCAGGATTTTCTTGGTGAAGTCCAGGCTGTCGACGCCCACGTCGCCACGGCGGCGCTTACCGCCTGTGTACACCCGGCGGGTCCGCAGCACGGCCCGCGGCTTGCTGCTCTCCCTCCACGCCTCCAGGGTCACGCCGCGCCCTGTCTCCCTGTCAAACATCCGGAAGAAGCTGTTGTAAGCTCCCGTCATGATCACGCTAGGTCAGAGGAGAGGAGATAAGGATGTCAGGGTAAGGAAGAGGAAGAGGAGGCAAACAAAATTAAGGGCAAGAGGATTGATTTGATGTCTGCAAAGCTGGTCTCTGGCATTGATTTAAATGTCAGCAGAGTAAAGCGATTAACTAAATCAGAGCAAACAGCATCAGACTGACTGCTTGTCAGCTAGAACCACACGTGAGCCGTTCGAGAACTAACATGTACTTCTGGCCGTCTCCGTTGAAGTCTTACCTGTCCGAGCTGTTCCAGACACACTCGAACTTGTCGAAGATGCAGTCGTTCTCGTACAGGGAGCACAGCTTACTCCTCAGGTATTCGTGGACCTGGGAATAATGCACACGGTCAGCTTTAGTGTCCGGGGTAGATTTAGTTTGACCTCACACAGGGCCCACGTCTGCATCGGGCTGCACGAGTTCCAAATTCGCTCTGCGACGCGCTCACGTGAAAATTCACAGAACGTTCAGCTGCAATGCCCCAACTAAGCGAGCGGCAATGTGGGGCTTGTGCCAGATGTGTCTAAAAATGGGACGCAACAAGCTCTCAGAGCAGGTGTTTCAAAACAGTGGGGAAAAATAAAATTAAAGATCTGGGGAGCTGTCTTACCTGGTAAGTTTCCACTGGGCCCTTGTCCATGTTCAGGTCCCACACCTTCGCGGTGAGGTAGTCTCTTGTCAGCAGGTAGCGTCCGCTGTGGCTGAACTTGACATCCGACACGGAGGAAATGATCTCGGAGAAGAAGGAGCGGCTCCCCGGATCCTCGGGCTCCTCAAAAACTGATTATTCAAACGCGCGGTTAGAGATTGTTCATGCACTCCCTCCTGCCTGCATTAGGCTTTGTAATCTAGGGCTAAATGCTCACGTTTGGTATGTTTGTCACAGAGGGCCGAGGCTCTCATGTCACAGAGGCGCAGGGTTCCCTTGCTGCTGCTGTACACAAACAAGTGGCAGTGCTGGGGGTGGAACTCCGCTGCAGTTATCACCTCCGTCAGATCCTCCATGTTGGCCGGTTTGATGTCTACAATATCTGAGAGGAAGTCACATAAAGGAACTAAAACAACAGAGATCAGTGATGCCACATACATCAGGAGAGTGGAGGTGAACACAGTTTTGTGACCTGCTGGTTGCGTCGTCTTTTTCGGACTTTGTCAGCTTTGGAACAAGTGTCTCTGCGTGCTGTCGAGTTTATCATCACTCCCAAATAATACTCCTTTACCAACCCCCCCGTATGCACACGCTCCCTGTTCCTCAGTTTGTTCTATTTGTAGTCGTCCTATGTGGCTCAGCAGAAAGCGTTGGGTGAATTATTTAAACTCGTCTACCATGGATGCCTCTACGATTTTTCTAGGTCAGCTTTCATTTGAATGGAAAACAGGCAACCCAGAGCAGCATGCTACAGCCACTCCTATGGAAATATGTACCCAAACGAAGTCATGTGCATTTTGCACTCCAGTGTGCACAGTGGATTTTTTTAAATTATTGTCATGACTCTTATTTACTCGGATAGAAAGCCAAAGAACATGTGTGTAAAATAAAACTCATGTACTTAATGAGCATTATAGTGCATGGTTGTGGTACGTATTGCTGCACCTGCACTGCACTGGTTCATATCAATACTTTTTAATGTGTTCAACAAATACAAATACAAGCACACGTGACTTGGCTGTCATGGATATAAAAGGTCTGGGAATCTCTCTCCTTCCCTCTCACTCTCTCTCTATGTATATATATATACAGTATATATATATTGATTTTTACTATTTCAAGTGAACAAACAATTTTTCTTCTGTGCAGTCCTGGTAATTTCATACTCTCTGAAATATGAGACACGTCTGATTAATGGATCAATGGATTGAAAGCACTGAAAGCAAATCAGATAGAGCTTAAATGCAGAACAAAAGTAGGGGAGGGTTTGGTGAACATTGAGCAAAAACTAGAAACAGTTTGGGATTAAACGGAGCAAATCATAGCTCCAAAGGATACTGAAACTGCGGTCTGTGATGCCCAGGTGCCACATATTGATGCGGAGGTCATCAGCCGACAAGTACGTTTCCCCATCGCTGTTGACAGAAATGGAGTTGACATGGTAGGTATGTCCATTTGAGAACACCCGTCGGGGACGAACCTCCACCATTAGATCTGTTGGTCTCAGTACGGGCACCTTTGACAGGGAGATGTTGAAAGAGGAGGAAACATTATTATTATGAGCAAAAGGAAACACAATAAAGTGATAACCAGCGCACATGAAAGCCAGCAGCCACACAAGCAGCTCATCAAATGCCGACCTGATGCTGGGATGACAGAACAGAATAGATGTGTGCTTGAGTGTGTCCTTGTACCTGCAGAGAGGTGATGGTGGAAACATCCTTCAGCCGTCCCTCCTCATCTTTCAGGTTGTAACCCTCGGGTCTTTTGTCTCTCTCGCTCACCTTCCACAGTTTAATGGTCTTATCTGTCACAGGATATTCACAAATTCACACCAGGATTGTGGCTTGAGTTGGCAAAAAACTAACACAGTTACTAAGCAAATAAACAGAAGACTAAATCAATTCTTGGTTTTCATTTGGACAGACAGAGTTTTTATGTGTGTGCTTGTGTAAAACCTGGATCTAATTATCTTATTGTTGTAGAGTGCTTTTTGGAAGGAGAGCATTTTCTAAATGTAACTAATTGTTCCAAAGCCTGGTTTCCATCTCATCAATTTCAAAGCAATAAAGTTTCATAAAGGAGAATAATTGAAGAACAAATTAAATTATGCAGACAGAGCAGTTATTGCATCCACAAGCTAGATATCAGCAGATGTCATTTTGTTCTAACAAGATAATAAAACGATGGTGACAAACTATTAACTGTGTCATTTCTGTTATCATTAAGAATTAGCTCCAAATTAGCACAATTCACTCGGAGTTTAAGCGTCCGCGCACTCTTACCATTGGTGGAGAGCAGGAAATGCGCAGCATTCTGCTGGGGCAGCCATCGGATCTTGTTGATCTTCTCCTCTATCTCCAGACTCTTCAGGTAATCAAAGTCCGGCTCGTGGCTCTGGAACGTGCTGTAGACGTTGTACTCCCCAGAGTCCCCCGTCTCCTCTGACTCCCCTTTAGACTGAGGACCAGTGATTAAAAGGCAATTCTCAGTGAACACCTCTAAACCACGGCCTCTTGGGTACAGAGAGAGTTCTGAAATAAGAACACTGACCTCTGTCTCTCTTTGAAAGATGACCACACGGCCACCTTTATCGCCCGTGGCCAGCAGGTCCCCCGTCTGGTTAAACTCCACCGTAGAGATGACATCAGCTGGGGAGGAAGACAAAAAAAATACAAGGAATTTAAGTGCTATGACGCTTGGAATAAAAAGAAGAAGAGGATGATAACCGAGTGAATATATCAAGCATCAATTAGAGTTATTAGGCCAGAAAATGTGAACAGGGTGTGGAAATACAGATCAAATACTCAGGTCATTCCTGTTAAAGAAGCACAAATGATGCAAACCTCCTGATCACTGTCATCGCCACCATTTTCTATCCAGCACATGACATAAAGTGCTCAGTCACACCGGTACACGTTCAGAGCCCAAAGCCTCGGCGGGGACACACCTTCGGTGACGTAGTCTCGCAGAAAGGTGTGGTTGATTTTGGGGCTCTCAACGTCCTCACCCATCTGAAGCTGAGGGAGGGTGACCCGCCAGTGAGCCCGTCCTGAGGGGAAGGGTCCAATCCGTAATGTCTCTTCCCGCCCAGGCTCCGCCCATGCTGCTGGGGCCTACCGGAGCGGCCTCGAGCAAGGCATCCTGGGAAGCCGGCCGGCCCCGAACGGGAGACGCGAAAAGGAGAAGATGAGGAAGGAGAGAGGGAATTTGAGAAAGGGGGAAAAGGTAGTGACGGAGAAGGGAGATGGAGAGGCTGATGAAGCTGGTTTGAGAAAGGAAAGAGTTGAGAAAGAGCTGTTGTCAGGCAGGTTAGAAATTCACGCAGGCCTCGTGCCAAATTGTGTAATCCTGGATACGGAACACTTTCATTAGCAAACGCACGTGTGTGTCTGTGTGTGTGTGTGTACAAGCCCTGGTCAATGTTGGAGCAGATTCCTATGCTGTGGAGAAGACACAATTCAATCAGAAAAAGAAATCCTTGTGTTTCCTCTGTGTGTGTGAAAAAAAAGAGTGGAAGTATGAAAATGTGCACTGCATCATTCATCCAGTGGTAGTAAATGATCCCAGGGTGTGGTAGTCCAACCATCTCCCCTCTCTCTCACACACGCACACACACACAGACATACACTTGTCAAAAAAAAAAATAGTCCTTGACGGAGATTAAAGGAGAATGCCGTGTCTTGGCCGTGCTGCGGGGAGGGAGACGGGCCTCGGTGCACCTACCAGTTCCTCTGCTGATGCTGCTGCTGCTATCCCTGCTGCCGCTGGTGTGTGTGTGTGCACCGTCCCTCTGCTGCAGCGTTGCTCAGGGGCAGGCCGGCGCGTGTCCGTCGAAAGGAAGGGGGGGAGAAGGGACAGAGAAAGAGAGAGCAAAGGGGTTGGCGGAACGGGGGAAGGAGAGGCAAAGGAGGAGAAAAAGAGAGAGAGAAAGAGGCAGGGGGTGGCGATGAGGATGAGGATGGAGGAGCACAGCCTTGCTGATGCTGTAGATCTGACTCTGTGCAGCATCCAATGTGTCATGGCAGCCTCCTCCGGGAGCAGCCTATCACGGCACAGCTGTCACCGGTGGACCCGCCCACTGCAGGTGGTGAGGAGCCTGTGCGACCGGAAGAGGGAGCTCGTCCATGATTAGTGGTGCGTAACTATGGCTTTGGGAGGCATGTTTATGTTGATAGAACATAGGTACCCTTACCAGGACATATTTTCACACTGAAAAATGATCATTAATGTCTTGGTTTTATGCTTATCTGGTTCTGCTCGTCTTAAAGATCCAGGTGAAATAAAAAAAAATGCAAAGTCAAAGCTCAAATATTGATTTTTGATCATGAATATATTTTTCATATTGAAATATTTAAAGGACATGGAAAAGCCATATTCAAGAGAAGAATAATCTTCCCACACAACCCCGTTTTTTTTGTTTTTTTTGTTGGTTTCTGGTATCATCTTTTTTCTCTTGGGAACACAGGCTTAAGGAGATACCTCTGACACAGAGCTCGATAAACCCTCTCTTATTACAAAACTGCTTGGCATCCGGTCAGCAAAAAAGCAATGCAGCTTTCACCCTTCACAAGTCCCTTATCAAGATCTGTTCTTCAAAGATGATCTGTAGTATCAACTATAAATGTCTTCCTAAACATTTTTGAAGCAACCGTTACATAACTATTCCTTTCAAATCAGATTAGTTACTCACAATTGCTTCTTGATTTCTAGGTATTTTTGCTTGAAAGCAGTCCAGATTTTACACAACATTTTAAAGTGCTCTTGAGTTATGGGCTTCCAGGGATTCTAAAGGTCCCTTAAATGTTTTCCTTGGACATTGACTTGTTTTCCATCCATTTTCAGCCCAGCCTCTGTACATAACTATTTTCAGAGGAATGTATCTTTTTCTAAAGGGGGGTTCTTATGAAGTTAGAATTCTCCCTGTAGGGCCTAGACTTTAAGATTATGGAGTCGGTATAGGATTGTCTACAAAGAGGCATGGAAGGCACCTCCTGAAGAATATTTTGTTAAAAATCTAACAATGCAGCCAGGCTGTGCTGAATAATGAAGGTGATTGTACCGTAGACGATAAAGTTCGAATTGTGCAAACTATATATTGTCTTCTGTATTCCTATAACTGTTTTTAACCCATTTCCCGTTTTCCAGGTTACTTTTAAAATAAATCCGGATGGCACAAAGCTAGTTTCCCACAGCAATTGACTTAATAACACTAATTTCTCTGTTTGCTGACATGTAATCCACACCCAACACGCATGGGGTGGTCGGATGAAGTTGACGGAATTAGAATGACAAGGGCAGATGGAGCAAAGCCCGGAATCAATTCATGCGCCCTGCGCTGAAGTTTAAATCAATTCCCTGTACTGAGTAAAACCGGTGGACCTAGATCAGCTAAAAAAAGGTCAGAGGATTACCCTCACGCAGTGGCTTCCGTGTGGATGGCGCTCTTGCTCTCTGACGCGTCACTAATCTGTCTCCCCACCTCCTCCTACATGGCAGGTGATTCTCCGTCGATCTAGAGTCCGTGGACGCAGTGTGTGTGTGGGGGGGGAGATGCCTAGCCTGACTCGGTCCTCCTGAAAGCAGCCGAGTCCAATGGAGCCTGGCAGCAATCGCGGGGTTTCTCCGGAGAAATCCTCCCGGAGGGCGGAGGCGCGCAACTCGCCCATCGTCCACGGCACCGGGTGGCTCTTCTCCCCGATGTGGAGTCCCCGGTCCAAGGCGCGCTGCGGGGAATTTGTCGGCGGTGTGCCGAGCGACCAAGTGTGGCTGGACGACCACTCTGACTTCACCAGGGAGTACTTTTCGCGCAGATCCTCCACGTAAGAATATCTATTTTCCCACTTTAGCCTTCTATTAGATTCAATCTCATATCAAAGTCAATTATAAACAGAGAAAATTAATTGTGTGATTTCATCAAGACTTTATTAGTATGAGAAGCTTTTCAAAAACAACTTATTTGTGACCTATATGCATGATTTCCATATAAGCTGAACCATTTTGGCTTTATTCCTTTTTACTTTTCCTGACCTGAACGTAAGTGACCTGATTTGTGTTGAATGTGTATTCAGAGTGAGCGGCTCTCAGCCAGAGATCCAGACCCCGAGTCCCAGGTTTCCCAGGAGCAGCTCGGACCACTCCAGCCTGCTGATGGCAGCCTCTCATCACAGAACATCTGCTCCTCTGGCCGGCTCCCACCAGGACACGTCCTGTTCCCCGGACAGGCTCAACCCCCTGGCCTCCACTCTCAATGCCCCCGAGTGGATGGACAACATCTGTCACTCCCCCTGCTCCCCTCGCTCCCCTCGCTCTCCCCGCTCCTCCCGCTTCAGTTTCACCGCCTGCCGCCCGCTTTCCCCCATTTGCCCCTGCTCCCCCTACGCCCCGCAGGTCCTGCAGCCTGTTGCCGCCAAGGCCGCCGGCTGTGGCCGGGGGGAGGGCTGCCCGTGGATGATGGGGCTCCTGGGAGGGGGCCTGAGCGGCATGGGCTCCGTCGCAGAGCTCTGCCAGGGAGCCGTCACCCATTCGGGGGAGCTGTTTGCGGCCGAGGGCGGTTGCCTCTCACTCGTGAGAACAGACTGTGGCGGAAGGAGCAACTTGGAGGAGGTGGTGGCCTTAACGGCTCTTGGGAATTCGAGCGACGGCTCCCCGTACGGTCACGCTCACCAGGAGCTCTTTAGGGGTGTCATGGAATGCGTGATGGCAACAGGATCGCCAATTAACCTCAGGGATGCATCTGAGGTAAATGTTTTTGTGAATTTCACCCCTGCAGCTCCGAAAATGAACACATTTCTTACACAGGCTAGATTTGGGGGGGATTTAAAATTGGGGGTGAGGACCGTGCTCTTTCTCTAGCTTTAGTTTTAGTGGCAACTCAGTTGTTTGGTGGCAGATGCACCTGCTTTTAATCCTTTTAGGGACTCCATCCACTGATAAACCTCTGATTAGGCATCTAAAATGGTGACGTGCCCTGCTAAAGTGCAGTGCGAGCTTCCTTGGCAGACACCAACACGAACACTTCTGCACAATGAGGGAGGACGGCACAGCTCACTTAAAGGCTTACAGCTGGTGTACTCTCCAGCCCTAGTTCTTTTCACCACCAATGCCATTAGCAATGGAAGCCAATTCCTTGCAAAGTTAATCCCAGGTCAGCATGAGTCCAAACAGACATTTTCAGGACTGGTTAGAAATATTTCTCAGATTGCTGAGGCACACAAGAGTTTGAATAGCGTAAATTTAGAGTGGGATAAATTGTTGTTGGATTACATCAATTTCTGAATCACACACAGAGTTACCAGGCTCAGACAGCCAGAGTTAGAATACAAAAACACATAAGCTTACTTTTAGTATTATGCAATCACTTTTTTTTTTTATCTCTGCAGGACCCAAAATTTAATATGCATAATAATCAGTCACTAAAAATCGGGACTGTTTTGAGTGTTCCCATCAAGAACCACAGAAGAGAGGTAATGCTCATTATGTTGCTTCTTAATCATGGAAAATGATGATGACGATGAAATGACATGTTGTAACTGGCCCTCTTTTTATGGACAGGTGCTTGGTGTAGTGGTGATGATCAACAAGAGGAATACTTGTGATGGCTCACTTTCTGTTTTTACCAACATGGATGAGAAGGTGAGAGATTTGAGCTCGGCACAAATCGGAAAATCGCTGGAAATGTTAGATTTGTTGTCAGCTTTTGTACAACTGTATTTCGGGAAAAAGAAAATTTACCGTAACCTGGCATCAATCTGTCAGAAATAAATGTGAGTGAAACCTTTTCGGTCAGGTGCTGTCCAGTCATATGGACGTTCTGGGGATGGTTCTGGAAAACGTCCAGCTGCACGAAAGCTCCAGACAGGAGGCCAAACGCAGCCAGGTGAGCTGGCCACAAGATATACGGCGTCCGCGAACGCGTGCGTGTCCTTAACTGGTTTGTCTGTGTTTGCCAGGCTTTGATAGAAATGGCCCAGGTGTTGTCGAGGGAGCACCACTCTTTTGAGGCTCTGCTGAGTAAGATGGCCGCCACCATCATGCCCTTCACGCATGCACAGTATTGCACCATCTTCATCCCCGGGGATCAGACTTCAGTCAAAGAGGACGAGGTGCCTCATCCACACACACACACATATGTATATTCATATGCATTTTTTAAAATGATACAACTAATCTTCTTATATATCCCTACACATAATTCTGCTTTCATCTGGTGACGGATGCATAGATTTCATTCTCGCGTGTGATACACATGGAGTGTGAGGAGCTGGGATCAGCTTGCCAGATCTACAGAAGGTATTCCCCGCACACTGCCACTTTGGGGGTTTAGTCATTTAACACCAGATGAGTGCTCCATTTCGCAGGGAGCGTGACGTCAGCGATGTGGATCCATCCTTTGCCTGTCGAACGCTGACGGCCATGGAAACACTTAATATGGCGAAGAGTTCCGAGGAATCAATAAGGAGCATCATCTGCTGCCCCGTCAGAAACGAGAGGTCTGAAAAGGTTATCGGTGAGCTCCCCTCTTGAGGGACATCATTGAATATTTATGATTTATGGATCATCTGTTAGCTACTCTCCTGGTTTTCATCTCACGGATTGATAATTCAAATGGACCGATATAATGTTTCTATCCTTTCCACGCATAGTGTTTAGCTGGAAGGAAAACAAAAAGATTTTTAACTGACTTTTCAGATACTGACACACTGATCTATTCCTTTCATTTCTTAATAATGTGAAAGTGCTCCTAATGACCCCCTGGTGTTGCAGTTGTGTTTTAAAATGTGAGGAAGTGACCGTCAGCTTCAATGCTGGCGTCCCTTAGCAACAAGATTTTGTTTTGATTGCTCATGTGGTCCTGTGTAATTCGTTTCATGTCTTTACAAGTTTCTGCCACGCTTGCATTTTGCAAACAGACCCACGGGTCCCTTGTTGGTGATTACAAGTCTGAGAGCACACAGGGACAGCCGTTTTTCACTGACTCATTTTCCGGTAGCTTTAGACTGACATAGATTACTTAATGA